TTTTTTTTTATTATTATTATTCTCGTCTGCATTTTTGAATTTAGTTTTCTCTACCTTTTTTCATACAATTTACTTATTTGATTTTTTTTTTCACTTTTTTCATGCATTTAATTTTAATCATTTTACTTCTTTTTTTTTCTTCTGTTTTCTCACTTTTTTCCCGTCATTCGCCCTTTTCATTTCTCCTTTTTCTTTCTCTTTAATAAAACTTTTCCATATCTCTCCCTTTCTCTCTCTCTCTCTCTCTCTCTCTCTCTCTCTATGGGGTGAGTACATTTTTTTCCTCTAAATTTATTTATTTTTCACTTTTTTCATCCTTTCATCTATCACTCATTTTTCATCACTTTTATTCCGACATTTCTACATCATTCTAAAAATCTTCTTTCATTAGGCAAATAGAGACGAAGAAAGTTTCCCCCTTTCTCCAATGCATTCCTTCTTCATTCTCCCTTTCTAAATTTCCTTTCTCAAAATTATATTATCTCTCCACTCATTTTCTCTTCCTATTCATGGACGAACCCTTATCCCTGCTTCTCTCTGTCCACATATACCTTCCCTTTCATTTTGTTTCTCTTTCCCACTCTTTCGCTCTCTCTCTCTCTCTCTTTCTCTCTCTCTCTCTCTCTTTCTTTCTGCACTCCCTTCATTATCAAAATTTTCCCCTGCTCCCTTTTTTGTCATCACCCTGTTTCCCTTTTCTTCTTTTTCACTGTCTTTCTCTTTATCTCCACTCCGGCCTCAATTGGTTTCCTCATTGCTCTCATCCTCTCGCCCGTCTGCACATTTACAATTCATTTATTGCTTAAAGACGTCATAATTCAAATCTTTTTCTTGAATGTCTTTATTTCAGTTTGGATTTAACTACTTAAAAAATTCTTGGAAACGTAAGTGAATATAAGAAAATAAAAATTAAAACAAAATGTTATTTCTTTATTCAATAAGATGTAAATAAGTAAAAATTTAAAAAAATATGAATGAAGTGGAGAGAGATTATCTAGAAAGAAAGAAAGAAAGAAAGAAAGAAAGAAAGAAAGAAAGAAAGAAGTTTATGACATATGAACTTTAGAATGGCTTACTAAAGATGTTTAGGTACAATGATTATTATTATATAAAGAAAGAAAAAAGAAAGAAAGAAAGAAAGAAAGAAAGAAAGAAAGAAGTTTATGACATATGAACTTTAGAATGGCATTTAAAGACTTTTGGGTGCCACAATGATTATTATTATAGAAAAAAAGAAAGAAAGAAAGAAAGAAAGAAAGAAAGAAAGAAAGAAAGAAAGAAAGAAAGAAAGAAAGAAGTTTATGACATATGAACTTTAGAATGGCTTACTAAAGATGTTTAGGTACAATGATTATTATTATAGAAAGAAAGAAAGAAAGAAAGAAAGAAAGAAAGAAAGATGATATTCAAGTGATACAGAAAACTATAACATTTGAATTTTAGCATGAATTACCAAAAAGTTTTAAGCAGAATGATTATTATAATTAAAGGAACAAATAGAAAGAAAGAAAGAAAGAAAGAAAGAAAGAAAGAAAGAAAGAAAGAAAGAAAGAAAATGGAAAAGTAATTTCTCTGGAACGTTTTTCTTCAAACATTGATTTCTCTATTACTATTTATATTTGTTTATAATTTTTTTACTATATTCTCTCTCTTTCTTTCTTTCTTTGTCTATCTATCTACTATCTCATATTTTGATCAAATCAGAAGACATTCGAAAAAAATGTTAGGGGTAGGGAAAACGTCGGATTGTGTTTCTGAAGAAAGAAATATGAATTTCATTCCGCAGAGCACGGAATAAAATGCGACTTGTCGGCGACCACGGAGACAGTACAAGCAGGATGTAAATATAGTGAGAAAAACGAGAAGGAAGGAAGGAAGGAAGGAAGGAAGGAAGGAAGGAAGGAAGGAAGGAAGGAAGGAAGGAAGGAACACCTAGAAGAAAATAAGAGATAGGGAAACATGACATTGATAAATATGTTTGAAAATAAAAAAAAAGAAGGTAAAGGTTAAAATTAGAAGGGTTTGAGGATGCATGAAAACAAAGAAAGAGTAATAAATGAATGAAATAAATAAACGGAGAAAGAAAGAGAAATAAAATTTAGGAAAAATAAAGAAAAGAAAAAAAAAGTTTATAACATATAAACTTTTAGAATGGCTTACCAAAAGACTTTTAAAGAAAGAAAGCAAAATGATTATTATATATAAAAGAATGAAATAAAAAAGGCAAAGAAAGAAAGAGAAAGAAAGAAAAAGAAAGAAAAGAAAGAAGGGAAACGAAAGAAATATTACAGCAGGAAGAAGTAAATAAAAGAACCATAATAATAATAATAATAATAATAATAAATTTTAAAAGACAGCAAAGAAAAGAAAGTGAGTTTGTAAGTAATGCAACATACTTTATGAAACAGTTGCTTTGTACTGTGTGCTTGAGATATATAGAAAACATATCAGTGGGTAATGCAGACGCTCGCGTCTGTATGCATTTGACAATTTGTACTTATAGGCACGGTGGAATAATGGATAGCGGCTTAGATTGAGGAATTGGAGAGCCAAGTTCAAATTCAAGTCGAATCGAACTTACGTTCTACAACCATTGGGAAAGGTATGAATCCTCCTCTTCTCCACCCAGCTATGGGTAAATAGCAGGACAGACCGGGTTCTATAGCCTTGGTCTACCGCAGAAAGTAATGGCAACCTAGTTCGGGAAAAAAAATGCCTCGTCAGTCATGTATCGAAAGATACATGATCGCCTAAGCGCGTATCATTCATGGCACATAACTGACTGAGTGATCGTTATCAGTGCAATAATATTCCATCCATATTTTAATAAAGTATACTCGATTTTTTTTTTTTGTTAATAAGTACAGGCACGCTTATAATGCCATAATGTGTGTAAATTACTGTAGTGTATATATTTTCTATATGTTTTGTATATGTGTTGTATATATTTAGTATATGTTTTGTATATATTTTGTATATATTTTGTATATGTTCGTAAGAACTGATAACACGGTTTTTATAAAGATTCAAGTGAATACTGTGTCGATGTACATAGATGTATATGATCCGACGTGGAAGTTGGTTGGAATAAAGAAACAAATTAGACACTGGTTTGGAGAAATGAGCAAAGATTTATTTTATTTACAAGATAGAAAAATTATCACTGCCAGGTCGTATAGTGTAGAGTTCGAATGTATGGTGTACAAAGTGTAAAATGAAAGCGTGAAAAGATGTATAGCACTGGCATATTTGTGTTTATTTTAAAATTTGTTTTGAGTGATGTACGGCGTGTGTGTGAATTAGCTGATAAAAATTGGTGTGTAATTAGAAATATATGTCTCTACTTATTGTATAAATTTGGCTTTAATTTGTTATTTCTAATTGTGTATATTGTTTTTTCTGCTACAAAACATTTTTCATAAGGGGGTTACCAGAGAAAATGTTTTGTTGAGAATTTTCGCGAAACAACGTTACCAAAAAATTGTACAGGGAAAGAAAAATAAATTGATTTGGTTACAGAGTATCGAAATTGGTGTTGGATATAGAGCTAGCCAAACGAGTTAATTCTAGAGCATTTGTTATTCAAAAATGTTTGTTAAAATCGTGCATTTCAAAATCGTTTTGAAAGTAATGAGTTATGTTTGGATCTGGTGCAGTTTTGTAGGTAGCTTGCTGCTTGGGGACGACATAATGACATGGAAAGCATTACAGTTATGTCTGCTAACAGATAAAAGTACCTGAGGAGTTGAAATGCAAAAGGTTGGTTATCGTATATATGTCTTGTATGACTTGAATATGTTGAGCCAATGGATTCGTCGACCTGATCTTGTGTGTTTGATATGATCTGTAATATCTTCTTTGGGTTAATCTGTGGTAAGAATTTGTGGTTTTGTAGTTTGTTTCAGTGAATCGACATGGTCTGGTTTGATTCTGTAGATCGATATGTTGTCCTTACGTCCATTTCGTCCGACGGGGAAATATTTCTCTGGCTTATCGATCACAGGGAATGGGCCGTCATATACCGGGTGAAGTGCGTTTTTTCCACTGCCTCTTCTCCCAAATACAAAATTCTCCGAGAAAATATCTTTAGGCGTGTGTGTATCTTTCATGGTCGTTCTGGGTGCTGTGAAAGATAGGCTACTCATTGTTGCTTTTAATTTTTTTCACAAAAGTGCTTGTCGGCTGAATTTCTGGTGTATCCAGAAGAAAACTATCCTGACAAAATCAACTGAGTTCTGATGTGGTGCATTGCAAATCCTTTTTGGTGGTGAGTCTTAGTGCTAATAAAATTAACGCTAAATTCTTGTTCCAACGTGTTGGACAGTACTATGCAGCAAGGGATACTTTAAGCTGTCTGTGGAAACGTTCCACTAGTTTATTCAATTTCTGCATGGGTGATAAACAGACTTTTTTTATGTGTTTTGCTCCTAACAGTTGTGTTAGCTTCTTAAACAGAGTGGAATGAAATTGGAGACCTCGGTCAGTTGTGATCTTTTCGGGTACACCGAAGTTTACTGTTCATGAATGAATAAGTTCTTGTGCGACTGTTTCGCGTGCAGAGTTGATAGGATGAATTGTTACGGGCCATCTTGTGAACAGATCAATGATCGTTAATATGTACGTGAATCCACTGGATGATGGAAGTGGTCCAACCAAATCGATGTGGATATATGTGAACCGTTGATCAGATGCGCTGAAATTTTCTAGTAGTGATTTTGTGTGTCTATTGATTTTATTCCTTATTTTTTTTATTCCTCTGACAAGGCACACAATTTTCAGTTCAAGAACGGATATCTGTTTTCATATGAGGCCAGACAAAACGGTCTTTGATCATTTTCTGAGTGGCCCTTTTTCCAGAGTGAGCTATGTTGTGGAATTTTTCAAAAGTATGTCTTCGCATTGTTATTGGGATGAATGACCTGGGCTTTGCCATAGATGTATTATACCAAATGTCAGAAATACTAAAGGAATAGGCATTTTCGTCAACTGTAAAGAAGTTTCTTTTAAAGTAACTGGTTAAAAGATGGATCTTGTTCTTGGGCTAGGTGTTTATAATCTATTCGTGATGGCTTGTCTATATTGACAGTATTTACAGTGGTTCTTGACAAAGTATCTGAGATTATGTTATTTTTCTCAGAGATGTGTTTTATATAGGTTGAAAATTGAGCTACAAAATTTAAATGTCTGATCTCTCGGGGTGAATATTTCACCGCTGCTGCTTGGATGGAATGCAGTAAGAAACGTCGGTAGTAATTCAACATTCCAATAAATCTTCTTAATTGTCTTATAGAGTTTGGCATTGCAGGAAAAAGTATCGCATCTACTTTCTCAGGTAAAGATGTTCTACCTGTGTTGTCTATCCTGTGACCTAGAAAAGATAAAGATGAGACACTAAAAGTACATTTTCTGGGATTGACTTTTAATCCGAAATATTGCAAACGTTGTAGAACTTGTAGGATGTGAGACTCGTGTTCTGTTTCATCGGTACTAGCTATAGGTACGTCGTCTGTGCATACGTATACAAAAATCTAGTCCGTGAAAAACTTGAAATGAAATGCTGAAATGTCCATGCGACGTTCTTTAAAACCTAAAGGCATTTTTTAAAAATTCAAAAAGTCCGAATGGTGTTGTTATGGCTGTCTTTTCGATGTCTTCTTCAGCCACAGGAATTTGGTTGTAAGCTCGGATCAGATCTATTTTAGAGAATACTGCTTTTTGTAGTAATGCGGAAGTAAAATCATGTAATGTGGGATGGGATACCTATCCGGTGTTGTTATTCTATTCAGAGCTCGGTAGTCACCACAAAGCCTCTAGTCTGGGCTGTTTCTCTTTGGAACAATGTGTAACAGAGAACAGAGTGAGATAGATATAAACAGAATGAGATAGATAGATAGATAGATAGATAGATAGATATGAACAGAATGAAATAGAAATACATTCTCTATGATTGATTACTTTCAAATGAACATATACATTATGTTCATAATGAATCAATCAATCTATCTATTCATCTATCTATCTATCTATCTCTCTCTCTCTCTCTCTTCTCTCTCTATATATATATATATATATATATATATATAATTATTTATTTTTAAAAATTTATAACATAAATATGTTATAAAATCACTAGAAAAATAGCCATTTCATTTTGAATTTGTAGGTCTGATGAATTGGATCGTATTTACGATTCCAGTGGAATAAATTATGACCATGGAATATTAGTGTTTAAGCCTTTTTTTATTATATATATATATATATATATATATATATATATATATATATATATATATATTATTTCATTAACGTTATATTCGATGTGTTTTAGCTGGAATGAGTGACCCAAAGTATATGTAAGGAAAATATATTGGTATTTTTGACAATACAGAACAAACAGATATCTACTCGGATGAGATGATCTAAATTCCAACAGACACGAACGGCTCTAATATATTTTTATATATAAACTATTTCTGCCGTCGTATCTGGTAAGGTAATTTAATTTAATGTATTTCTTATCCTCAACAATTACAAAGTACTTTCCTTATACACACTTTTGAATTTTTCATTCTGATCTGATAACGACACACTTAATACACGTCGGGGAAACGCGTCGTTAAAAAGCTTTTTCATTTTATTTCATTATCTCTACATTTGTTTCGGATTCTGTTCTACATTCTACTAACACGCATATTTATATGTGCATGTGTACGTATGTGTGTTTGTGTGTGCGTGTGTACATGCGCACACCTAGCTATGTACTAAAGTATACTCCGTTTTACGTAGAAAGAAATGTAATTTCATGATCATCTTTCTGCACCTGTTAACTATGTACACGTATGTTTGTTTATATAAATGTAGTTATATCTGTCCATATTTTTGATGAGGTATTGTAACTATTTACACTATTTACATTATTCCGACGGTTGTCCTCATCTTTATTGCCATATTCACGACGTTTCAGGC